CGAGTCGTGGCACCAACGAGGAAATGAACGATTTTATCATCATTATTATTATTAACTAATTCCACGTCGAATAATAATAATAATAATAATAATTTACGGGAAAAAAAAGTTTAATTAAATACTTGAGAGTAAAATTCTTAATAAAAACGGAAATCGATTTGAAGAAAATTTAATTTTTTAAAAATTGGCGCCATTTTTTCCTCCTTAACTTGACAATAATAATAATAATAATAAATCAATCGTTTAATTGATTTTTTTGTAGTGTTATCATCATAATTTATTATTATCCGCCATATTGATTTCTTCTTCTTTCTTTTTCTCTCGCTTTTTACATTTAAAATAAAAAAAAATCTGGAAAAATTAAAAACGCTCTCTGGAACGAAGTAAAACATTCCAAAATTTTCCATCTTTTTTCAAATATTAATAATAATGATGATGATGATTGTTTTCATAACACTTAGTATTGAGTAGTTGAAGAATGAATTTTATTTTTTTTAAATTTTATAACCTTTTCATAATTTTCCATAGTTTTTTTTTTTTTTTTTGATAATGATAATGATAAAAACCTGAAAATTTTTTTTTTTTATGGAGAAAAAAAAACAAAAAAATTTTAAAAGAAAATAATCAATTTTGATGAGTTGTAACTTTAAAAGAAATCATTATTATTATTATTATTATTATTAAATTGATTTCTCCTTTTTTTGGTCTTTTTTCTCCAAAAAACAAAAAAAAAAAATCCCATGGAAATTCATGGAAAAAAAATATTAAAAAAAATTTTTAAAAAACCTACAAAACCCCTTTTAATATCATCATTATCATCATCATTATTATAATCATCACCACCACCACAACGCAACCTTTACTATAATCATCATCCTCATCATCATCATCATCGTCACCATCATTATTATCATCATCATCATCATCGTCACCATCATTATCATCATCATCATCATCATAGTCACCACCATCATCATCATCATCCTCACCACCATCCCAATCATCATCATCATCATCATCATCGTCACCATCACCATAGCAATCATCATCATCACCACCACCACCGTCACCATCATCATCATCTCAATTTCATCCCTCATTCGTACTAATTACGCCACTGATCGAGTATTAACCTATACTTCTTCTCGTTTCTCTTATTTATTAAATACAATTGATAATAATAATGGATCATTCCCGTTTTCATCACGTGCCCAAATCGTCGTACCTGGAATACCTTTTTTGAAAACATAAAATTCCAAAATTAGTTTTTGGTGGGAGAGGGGGGAGGGGAAAGAGAGAGGAAGATATTTGAATATCCCACGTGGCATCTACGCGAAATCACGTTTTACATTATTATTATTATTATTATTATTATTATTAATATTTAATAACATCAAATTATTATTATTATTAACGTTAAAAAAAAAAAAAAGAATTTTTTCAAACTCGTCGAACCTGATTATATAAAAAAATAAAATAATTAACGATTAATAGTTTAAGTCGTTTATAATAATAATAATAAAAATAATAATAATAATAATGATAATAATTTTTAAAAAAAAAATACGTCATCGATATCGATCGATATAAAAAAGG